TTTTTCTTCCATGACAGCATAAGTTCTTCGACCACTTTTCAAACGTACTCGTCGGTTGCTCTTGCCACATGAGTGAGTCAACGGAGTCTGGTTTCAACCAGCTTTCTGAACCCTGTGCCATACGTAAACTGACTCTGATGGACGTATTTCTATACATAAAAATGAGATAAGAAACATAAGACCAGGGTTATTTTTATGTATAAATATGCCCACTGATCGTGCTACATCCGTAGGTGTCCGAACAGGCTTTTGTTCGGCCTTGCCTAGTGATGCGGCTCTGTATCCATGCACCACAGGTGGTCAAATACCTTGGAGTCGTGGCCTGCTTAAATGATCCCCCTAGGCGACTAGAAGCAAGGGGACGGTGCCATCACGCCTTTTCAATCCTGTATCAAAAGGGAAAGGTTTGAATACACTTCTGACACTACATATTCAACTGAGCGTTTACATTTCTTTGGAATCTTGATGTTGCTCGTGTCTCTTCAGGTGTCCAAACATTCCTCTCCCCATTGAGGTGCTTTCTCTAAACCAGGCTGTCTTTCTCTAAACCTTTCCCTTTAGCTAAATGGATATCGCTTTTATCGCAGAGTGCGCGAATCGCCCAGTTTTATTTGATCACGCTTTTTAAAATCCAATTTCTAAATTCTCTGTCGATTTTTCCATTGTCTTGAAAGACGGAACCAAGATCCCGGAATTCTTAGATTTAAGGCAGCATGCTGTCCGCTACTTTCACTGAACCTTTGGCTTTTTTGCGTTCTCCCCATTGAAACAGCGTCTATGAGTTTCGATGAATAAAAATCCTCGCTAACTACCTCAATATTTGAATCAAATATGCTTGCTTTGATTCATTTTTAGACGAACTAACCGATTGCTTTTAGGAGGCCACTGCATAATTGGAATGCGCCAGGAGTGGATAGATCTAACTCCTGAATACGCCGAGAAGCTAGAACCGTTCATGTACCAGATGCCAGAATGGAAACTGATCGAACGAGCCGTTGAGCCTCATTGGTTCAACGAGTTGAACGGATTAGTGTGGGTTTTCCAGAAGGTGTGAACGGCACATTATACCGTTCATTTAGTCGCATTGAATTTGTCACAGTTCAATGACATAGTTTCGCCACATAACTAATATTGTTCTTGCATGTGGTACAGTCGTAAAGTTGTCAGTCATTTTTGCTATGCACTCATGGAGTTCAGAGTGAGACGCACCAATACCCGCTCATCATATTTTTTGGATGATGTGTATATACATTTTTCACAAATAATATCTTTCTCATTTATGATAGAAGTATCGTTCCAACATGTAGGTCAGATTTACTTGAAGGTTGTGCGAACATATACGTAATAGTCAGGACGATGCCACTTGAGTCGGCCTTTCTCATAGCTCAAAGGTTTTCAATACTTGGAAACCCAGATGTCAACGTGCTTCAAACGAGGGATATGACTTTGGTCGTAGGTCATACTGCTTACATTGGGCCAGATATTAATATTCTCTTTTTAATCTATGGCACAAATGGAGGCAACCTATGCCTACCTTGATATGTAAGGTAAGGCACGGTGTGTCAGAGAACAAATCCTGCTATAGTCTCTTTCGTCCTTCTTCAGGGGATAAATTAAAGACTGATAGCCAAGTAGCCAAATTCTCTAATCACAAATCGCTTTGTATGGCACTCTGAACAATGACTCAAGAAATCAGGTACAGTTCCCTCAGAGAGAGAAAGATGGAGAAGGTCAAATGTTCTGATGATGAACATTGTGGCTTGTTTACAGCGTCGTATACAAATGAAAGTCCTAAAATTGTGACTCATTTTCACGAGGCTTCGGCTGATGGCTTTGTTAATCGATACTGTCGTCCATGCTGTTAGGCCATGATGACAACCGACTTTAATTAATTTAAATATTTTCAACGCCTAATCTCGCTTTAGAATTGCAGAACCAACTGCTAGAAAAGGTTCTTTCATTCATCCCAATGTGTTGAGACGTGGACAAACTCATGTCTGAGTTCCAAGGTGTTACAATTGCCTGGTTTTCAATATAATCGAACCATCTGCTTCGCGGCCTGCCTCTGGGCTGTGTTCCTCGTGGCCTCGCTAACGGAGCATCTTCAGTATGAGATGCTAAACGGATAACACGTTTATTAAACATAATCTGTGCTACGAAGAGGCACGGAGGATGTGCTATGCAACTATGAACTAAAGATTATGTCCATGATAATGTGCAAATCACGTCTGAGACTGTCGTAATGCACGGATGTGATTATTAAGCATAAGCGAAGAAGACAAAATGAATATTCTCACTCATTTCATGTAGCAGGACGGAAGAACATTTCTGAAGGGTATTACAAAATGTGAATACAGTAAAAAATTGGGTACTGTTCTTCAAGATTTACATTCAACATTTGATCACATACCTCGTATAGTACATCTGCGTATTCTTCGGTCAGTTGTGAAGTTTGTAGCCACAACGAGTCAAACATCTTATATAAATATCGCAAACATAGCAAAAGCAAAGGACCGACAATCAAGCAGAAAGGAGATAAGAATGACTGCTCTATCACGAGTTTTGAAATTTATTTCCAGCCTCAACATAAATTATTTTTTATTGTCGCCTATGTGAATAACAAATAGGTATCAAAATTTATAGTACAGGGTATCGATTCATTGCCTGCTTGAATAGCAGTTAATGATCCTCGGTTTCCGATTCATGGTTCAAGTCAAACGTTGTCGACAATGGTTTAAATAGGCATCCCTTGTCTGGGTCTACGTCGTATATTCTTGTGTCCTCAGTTTCTTCTCAGAGGTAAGAGTTCAACTTTTAAGAAAACCATTGCTTCACTGAATCTATAGTTTTAGTAGATGAATGCGTACCTGCTTCTTCTTTTAAAATCAAAATGCACCCTGCTCGCAGCACAACGAAAATACATTTGCTCGTAGATATGCATAGATATAGTTTTACAGAAAATACTACCTCAATACCAGAATTCAAGTTTCGCCACTAGCCTCGTTTTCAGATAAAAAATCGTAGATCTTGATATTTGTTCGTTTCCTGTCGAGCAGTGGTCGTTTTCCGTTTAGAAGGCAAGCGGCGTGGTTAAAAGATTTGTTGGTGTTTGTTTACAGATTGACACAGTGAGTGCCCCCTTTTTATCCGTTCCGATTTTTGTTCACACAGTCATTCTTTTAATATGCCTGCCTTAAAAGATAAAGGATCACTACCAATTCCGGTTACCAGCGCCATATTAACCTACCATTTCACATTCGTAGAAAATCTGTGCAGGCCCCACTGCTGTTCAAGAGTTCAAGAGACTTATAACCTCTGCTGCATTACAACGACCAGGCACGACGCAAACGTTCCAGCAGATGTCCGTTAAACATAACCATTATGGATTCATAGACGGTCTCCACACATAGGGCCGGAGGGAGACGTCAATCTATCAAAAGTCCGGAACAAAGCACCACGCATCTGCCAAGCGTAGATGTTGCCGGACCAAGCGACTGGCTATGCCTGAACAGATTTCTATCAATGCGGAGTGATTCATCCAAATGGACAAAGGTTCAGGAATGGCATATAATGACCGGTTCATGTTGTAAAACACAGTGAGGTTGATGCAACATTTAGGGTGTGTGTGTGTGGGGGGGGGTCAGCGTTGTGACAGTTATTGCCGGTTGTACATACACGGTATTAATACATTATGACATTCCGTCTGTGCATCTTCGTCGCTCGCAACGTCGGGCTGGTGGCGGAATTTCGCCTCATTGTGTGACTGCATGATATATCATACAAAAACAGCAGGACAAGTTAAGCGGAAATAAAACATCCACTCAAGCCAAGCGTCGCACGCAGGCCAGGTTTTACTCAAACCTCTATTCTCATGGACCGACCTCATGCACCGACATCGCCAGGTTGGCAACATGCTGGTGATGAAAGCGGGTTGGCTCTGGCGTTCCAAGAACACGTATAGCTTAGCCTAGCCATCGGTGACAACTTTTGGTCGTGAGGACTTGTGTCGTGTCAGCGATTTGTAGTTCGCAATGATAACAGAGTCGTACCATTGGGCAGCGACGGACCATGTGCCATTTTCAAGCAACTGATTGGATGGACCCTCATCAGTAGGCCTCACCCGCAGCAGGGCCATTCAACGGACCGCTATATAATCAGCCTCGTACCTCACATCACCTGTTTTCTCTGTTAAAATTTCAATGGTTGCGCAATCAAACGGCAGAACTCAATGCAAGCAACTGCTAGGACTTTCCGTGAAGTAGACTAAAACAAACGAGCAAGATAGTTGAAGTATTTTAGACTTCATTCTTGCTTTCAAGAAGTATGAATAAGAGAAGCAAAAACGAAGCACTGTGCTATCCACGTAATGGGAAGACCTTGGTGAACGTATGGTGGCACAGTGGCCATAGGCCGGCTTCAAACTCCAGAGGCACTCAGTTCGAACTCTGAATGGAAAAATGACACTTAGCCACTGATTCTTTGAATAAAGAATTTACCGCATTTACCTCATATACAACCTGAGGAAACGAGCAGCAGGCTTTAGACTCGTGAACAACTGAGAAAACATACTGTTCATGTGTGATGAAAACATAACGGACGAGAAGTACCTGTGTGTGATGAGAGAGTTTCTTAGGACGGCAATCCAGTGCACAAGGTCTCGAACCCATGTAAATTACGAAGGTTGCATTACCATACGGTAAATAACTTCCGTATTTTTTCCAATGACGTGAAGGAATTATTCTTAATAAGTCGGCTAGACAATTTTCAATTATCCGAAAACTGGTTATGAATTCCGCAGTCAGTTTTATGCAACCCGTCAGACAAATGTCCAAAGTTAGAAAAGTTTCCAGTCGCTTCTTTGACGCCATCGCTGAAAAAGAGCCGATAATTAATTTTATTCATTTACTGTTCATCAAGCGGTCAACAGTCTTCGAACGAACTGAAATGAGTCACATGATCCTCTGGAAACCTGGATGTCGTTCTAATGAAAAATCTATGGCAAATGTCTGGAGGTCAGAAAAGTGTCCAGCGATGGTGCTTGCCAACGAGTGGAAGAAACCTTCCACGGAGAGACACCTGACAGCCCAATTTTTAACGTCATTTGACAGAAGACGCTAGTCGTCTGTCCTCCGTTCCTGTAGGAGTCAACGTACTCTACTCGTGCGTTTCGCTCTCAGGTTACGCGACGTGAATCTAGGCGGTTCAGAGTGTGCGAGTTTTTCACAAGGGTCAGCTGAAACCGTCTTAAGACCAAAGTTTGCGAAAGCTGACACTGTGCATCGTCGCCTCAACCACCGACTGCCACCGGCATACGTTTCCCC